CATGGAATCGACCAAGCTTAATAGATACAACACTACAACTTGGAAAAGATGTATTAAACATATCTTCCTCAAATGTAGCACATAGTGAATCCTCTACTAGAAGCAAGACAGATCATACTGAAATTGAATCCCGTGAACTCCCCCCTCCACTCTGTTCCCTCTCCCCCCTTTCTCTCTCTTCATGGGGGGTTGGCGAGTGCTCTGATGTAGTTTGCTCCTTCTTTCTCAACCAACATCTACCGTGTCAAAGCGAAAGTTGTAAAATGAGAAAACATCGGATTATTTATCGCAACAGAATTTGAGTTGCAAATCTTAGGTAAATACCCTAGACGGTCATATAATCCGCCTAGTAAATACCCCATTAGTGTAGCATCATTAGGGGATAATAAAATGCTCCCCAGTTGCGTCTGTGGTGCAACAGTTCAGCTCTGCACTGCGATACGTAAAAGACATGAGTTCTCCAAACGGGAAATCTATCCCGCCGAGCATTTCTTTTGTTGCATGGACGCTATATCCTACTCTACTCGGAGGTGACAAGCTGGGTCGAATTAGCCCGCTTACTAAATGATCCAAGTTTTGTAGAAAGGGATGTAAAATATCGATTTTTAGGCTTTATTCTTTTCTTGTTTACAGTCTCTTTTTTTTTCAAGGCCTTTTTTCCATCTGTTGAGGGTCAGCTCTGGTATGGTAGCCTCCTTCAAATTCATTATATTGCTGCTGTTAGCCTGGTAAAATGGCTCCCATTATCTCTCTTGTGTCGGTGGCTGGACGGGACCACTGATAGGTCCTACTTCTTTTTCCTGTCCTCTGTTGTTTCTGTCTGTCCGTCTGTTTGTCTGTCTTTTTGTTTGTCTGTCTGTCTGTCCTGCTTGGTTCTGCACTAAATAATTGTTATCATGTTCATGCACTCCTCTTTTTCTCAAACTCATACACATCTCTCTTACTCGATCTAAACAGAGGCGACTTAGTCTCGCGGGTAAGGCGTCCCACTTACAGGACGAAAACTACAGTGAGTTTGATTCTGAATGAGTTTGGACAAAACGGTTTCCCACCGGGCATGATTTTCCAGTCCACAGAGGTTGGATGGTTGGCTGGCGCTCTGATGATATTGGTTTGCGCCACCTTTCCTATGAAACATCTATCGTTTTTCTTTTTGTGTTTGTTACCCTCTTGAAACACCTCTAACCTTTGACGTTTATATGATCTAATTGTGTTGCAAGTGCAGTAAAACTCTTAGTAAAACTAAACGAATCTAACCATTAATACATGAGCTAGGAAGTCAATGGTGCGCGACTTACAGGCGGAAACGCTGAGTACCAGCCATCGAGAGGGTACTGAAAGGTTAATTGGCAAGAACGGTATGGCTTAGGAAGTGATTGTGAAGTCGAGGGATAATAATAATAATAATAATAATAATA